TTTCCTTTTTGAAGTTATGATTATAGGTTGTTTGAACATTTACAGAGCAAATTAGTTTTCCATCCAAGAAATTACACACATTTAGCTTCATGATATTGGCTGCAATCGCCTCGATGTATCAGCATTTTCCCCCCATCCTCCCTGGGTTCCTGGGTTCCACTTGTCCTTTCCTGCCCTTTCCGACCCTCTGAGCTTTGTGTTTCCGGTAAACGCTGGCCTTTTGGTCTTGCATGGTTCTTCATACTCTGGAGCACACCCCTCCTCTGTGCTTTATTATTCACATCCTAGGCTTATCCTTTGCCTGGTTGAATGGTAACTTCTGCGGGTGGTTCAGTTCCTGGATTGAAGTGGGCCTAATGGCCACTGTCTTGGAGAAATCTGCACCTTTTCATGATTTTGAATGTTGTTTTACATTTCTCCCCCCCTCTCTACCTAGGATCCTCTATTGCGATTCTGATCAGAGAAGCTGGTAGCAGTAGCTAGGTACTGTTTGGAGGGATGATGAGAATGTTTTAAAACTAGATGGAGGTGATGTTGTTGTTGTTGCTGTTGTTATATGTCGCTGAGCCAAACTAAACCACAGCTGATCCTCCGGGAAGTTTACAGAGATAGTAAATTGCATGGGAGGAGACTGTGCATCCTCCTACAGAGCAGCTGGTGGATTCGAATCATGTACCTTCGATGACGATGATGGTGGCATAATATTTCACAATATGGTGAAAGTACTAATGCCACGCTGACTTTTACACTTTAACAATTTTAACTGATGTTATGTGAATTCTGTCTTGTCATTGACAATACCAAGAGATATCTAGGAAAGAGTTCCATACATTAGCCTTCTTCCCTTGCTAGGTCCCCAGGGTGTCTCCCAAGTATGGAAATCATTGGAGTTATTAAATAACACTACATCTTATCATAGACAGGAGAGCTTTAGTGACTTAATAGTAAGGAATTGTGTCTTCCAACCCAAAGGCTTGCAGTTCAAATCTACCAGCCATTCCATAAAGGAATAATGAGCAGTCTCTTCCCATGGGCTTTAGTGCCTCTGAAAACCCACTGTAGGGTCAACTGTGAGTTGGTTCTGACTAGATGGTATATAACAACACCGTAAGGCAGTCCTTGAATGAAAATGGTTTTCCTTGTTTGAGAGTCAAAAGGCAATTTCTTCTAAACCAGCAAGTAAATATGTCTAAGCCAGTGGCAGCTCACTTCCTAGAAACAGAAGCTTCACTAGTAAACTAGATCCAATATTAATTCCAGTACATAGTCATCTAGAAGCTATAGTTTTAACGTATGTCAGGAATTTAAAGTTCAAAACTCTACTTTTAAGTATACCAGGAAAGAGAATAGTACCTAAGCAATGAAAAGTGTCACATGTATGAAGGGAGCGCTGGTGGTGTAATTTATGGGTGGTGCCAGCCTCTCTCTGGTGGTTCAAATCCACCAGCTGCTACAAAGGAGAAAGTTGAGTAACCTCCTTTCGTGTAATGTACAGCCTTGAAATCCCAGTGGAGGGTCATGTATGAGTCAGTTCTGACTCAAAAGCAATGAGTTTTGAGTTCCCATTTATTAAATGTCTTTTAATTTTGTTTCATTTAAACATCATTTTGCCCATTTTCTAGAAAGACTACTGAAGCTCAAAATAGCTCAGCAACAACAGCTTTAGCATCCCTAGGTTTCATCTTACCAACAGTTAAGGGTGACTAGAATTTGAATCTCTATCTTGAGCTTGAGAGAGAACTCTTCCAAGCAAGCCAACATGGAGATAAGCAGCTTTTCACTTTCTTCTCCCCCCACTGAATGTAAGAGGATTACTTTTTATTTCACCAAGAAGTTCTCCTGAGCTTCCTAGCGTGGGAGATGTGCAGAGTGAATGAATGGTCCTTGGGCACCGGTACCAGGTGTCCCTTCCAACGCCTCATCTGTACTTTTCCAGGGCAGCCTGGGGAAAGTGAAGGCCCACTTCAACCATCTTGCTGACACACTGCCATCCTAAAAGCACAAATGAGGGACACTCAGACCCTCTCTTGCTACTGGGCTGAGGGGAAAGGCTATGATACAATTTGTCTTTAAAGGACTTAGGCCATTGTAGATGTAAGAAACGCTGGCTTCTGACTGGGTATGACATCATTTTATGCAGCTGAAGTGACACGGTCTCCAATTTGAACACAGATGATTCAGTGCTGCAAACATTAAGCACTTTCTGTGGGTATAAAAATAGGGTGTTTTTCAACTTACTCTGAAGCTTTTCTAAACAAAGGAGTTGAGAATAATTTCAGTCTTTTCCTTTGCATGATAAAGTGATCGAAATGATAATAATAATCCATTACATAGAAAAGCTCTTTACAAAGCACTTTTGTGGATAATTGCTGTGAGGCTTAAAAAAATTGAAGGAAAAAGGTCTAAACTTACATATATCTTTATACTATAGATAAGGAGAGAGTGAGACGGAGGCTTTTTATATTAGAATTGAAGTCAGGTCTTAAAGTTCTAACTGTTTCTGGTTATCAATAAAAAAGTCAATGCTTTTTAAATTAAAAATGAGCTGCTGCTACTTATGACTTGATAAATTGTAAAATGCCTTTCCCATCCTTGCCAGTGGTTCTGTGTATTACTGCTACTCAACTCTAGATCTCCGGCTCCTATGGATTATATAGCCAGTTGCAAATAAAGAAAAACAAACGGAACAAAAAGCAGAAATCTAATCACGTTTGGGGGTGGTAATGTTTTTGGTAGCAGAAGTTAAGAAGCTTTAGGCTAAACATTGTCCTTTGAACTTGCTGTTTCCACCAAAATAATCAAAACACTAATTGATGCATCAAGGTCATTGTTTAAAAAAAGAAAAGAAAAAGTTGGACCATTGTGCCTTACTGGCGTGCACTGTAGTTGTTATGTGGTGTCAGGTAAGAACCGACACATAGCTGACCCTCGAGCAGGTTGTTAGAAGGTGTAAATCACACAGAAGGACACTGCTCATGTTCCCCGTCATAGCAACTGGTGGTTTTGAACCAGATGGCAGTGCATATCCTTACCACGACGCCAACTTGGCAGACAGAGCCACAGAAATCTTCCCATTGCTCCATCTAACCTCTCAACTCATGAGATCAATAATTATTTGACAATAGGTTTCCAAGGGATGAGTTTTATTGCAATTAATCTAATCAAATGGGCAGGTTTCACTGCTTTTCCTTGGGATGGTGAAAGAAAATGATCACATACATACTAGGCGACAAATGGTGTAGCTGCTATCGTGTTTCTTGGAGGATCTGGCTGTCCTGGTGCATTACCATTTAGAAGCAAAATCGGTGGAAGCCACACCTGCCAGGATCAGCCTATATAAACCACAGGAGAACATTCTAAGCCCAGTGGCGACAATAAGTGTGCCCCATGGTGCAGAACACTCATCCAAGTTGGAAACATCCAGCCTGACTCAGAGTATGACAAATACACCTTCGGGGTAACTTTTTCTAGAGGGCAATGCCACTCAAAACCTTGACTGCACAGCAGAATAACCTAGGAAATGTTAAAACAACAACAAAAACCCACATTTCTATAATCCAGAATAATTAGAAGCAGTGCCTCTGGAAGTGGGAGACCTAACACTGGTATTTCTGAAAACTCCTTAGGTGATTCTAATGTACAGCCATGGATGAAACCACAACAATAGGATGATCAAACCATATTTGGGCTTGGGCTTAGCTGGTGAAAGGCCATACAAGAGTAGTCTGCAAAAAGCATTTGGTCAGAGGACCCAAGTATTCTTACTCATCTTGGACTGTAGCTGAAGAGCACTGGACATGCTCGTCTAGAGGTGATTAAGCCAACTTGATTCGTCAGGAGTGAGGGAAACACAATTTAAAATGCCTGTCTTTGCTTTTTCTGCTAAAAACCAAGGCACAATGATATTTATTCAACCCTTATTTTTTGAGAGCCTGGAATTTGGTAAAACAAAGCCAAAACACAACAACCAAATGAAAAATATCATATATTCAGAGGCAATACCCTGAAGGGAGAAGTGGGGCATATGCTTCTACCAACATTACAGCAATGTAATGTCCCCCACAGTGTGGGGTGCAGGGGCAGAGAGGAAGTATATTTATTACAATTATGTAATTATATCTATTATAATTATGATAGAACTTTTCGAAGTTCATTAAACTGGCTCTGCAAACTTTGAAACAAAAGTTTACACTGCAAGATTGCAAACATGGAGAAGAAAAGGGAAGTCATCCTGAAGGTGCCTGAGCTCTTCTCCAGCATTTCGTTTTACTATCTCTGCTTGAGGATTTCAAAAAGAAGCACCTAGTAAAAATGGTGGAACTGGAGGAGCTCTTATCAGTGGGGTTAAGTAGGATTTTAGGGATGTTTTTCTAGATTAGGGTAATAATCAGATATTTGCAGCTGAGTCTCAGATTTATGTCAGATTACTACATATGTCTTCACCTTCTAATCTTGAGTGACTATTTGCTTAGAAAGCTGTGAGAGGCCCGGTAGCCTGGTAGTAAGGAGTGGTACTGGCAACCGAAAGGTACACAGTTCAAATCCACCAGCCGTTCCATGAGAAAAAGATAAACAGCCTCTGAAATTCACTGGAGGGTCACACATGGATTGGCTCTGACTTGACAGTACACAATGACAACAACATTTGCTTAGGAGAGAACTCTGATGACCTAGTCCATAGAAGCTGTGCTGCTAACCCAAAGACGGGGCCTCTTTGGGCCCATTCCATTCCCCCCACCTCACACAAACACACACACGCCCATGCAGCTTACACAGCCTCAGAAACCGGCGGGAGGCTCAGCTACAAGGTGGTTCTGACTCAATGGTAACAAACAAGTAGATTGCTTAGTAACTGGTATTTAGAAAATGAAAATATGATTTATTAGTTAGTTTAAGACATAAAGGTACCCATAATATTAATGTGTTCTAAGCATGTAACTTACCTGACTGGGCCATGGAAAGCGAAGTCGAGAGGAGCAAATGATATAAAAAATACTTACTGGCTCTCTCTCATGTTCTTAAGCGGATCCATGAGGCGCAGTGTGTCTCGGATCACAGCCACTTTCACTTCTTCGTCAACAACGCTGGGGACATTTTCGAACACCCCTGGAGAAAGCTTGAATGTGTAAGGGTTCCGTGTTAAGACTGAACACAGAGATTTGGTGTCAACAGATGTATCAACACCCAATCCCTTAGTAGGTTTTGTTTAGGTTAATCTATACAAGAGGGTTTCTCTAAGTCTCCCTTTATATCACCTTACAACAATTTCCTTTAACAAATCAGCAAAATACATAAAAAGGGGGGGAAATAGCACTTTTATTCTGATTATCAAAATACATGTTCATTATAGAAAATCTGGAAACAGAAATGAGTTAAAACTTAAAAAATTCAAGTAATCCCCTTAAGTTCAATATTAGTATTTGGTATGTTTTCTTCCAGTCCTTTTTGTGCATTTTAGGGGGGAGAAAAATAAAACCACTACTAAATGTACTATTTATCTTAGTGATTCAAGCATGTAGACACAGCTAAATCATATTCATAGAATTTCAATTAGCTCATCTCCTGAGGCTAACTAATTAGTTCATGTCAAAACTGATGGAAAGGTTCAGCTGCTTCTACGTTTCCAGACCTTAAAAATTGGAAGAACGGCATGCTGGGAAATGACCATAGGTCAGATAGGTCCTATATTAATAGGCTATCTTCGGAGCTCAACCAAATTAAGAATATTTAGACTTTAATGGAATTTTGCTGGGCAAATTTGAGACTATTTAATCTTGTTTATCCAAGGGAACAATATTGAGTGGGAACATTCAGAATATATTCAGTGATATATTAAAAATACTTACTTCTTGCTCATGTTCAATCCTCATGCTGGGATTTGCATTCACTTCAAGTAGAATAGGCTTCAGATTTTTCATGAGAAGAATGTCAAAACCTAGAATCTGGGCAGGATAAACATAATTCAGAATTACTTCCTTTGGCCACAATTTCTTTTCAAGGATCAAGTACAGTATTAGATCATTAAGATAAAAATAAATTCAAGCTCAGCTCACAACCCGGGCCTTGACCCTGGCTTCTCTAGTTCGCAGCTCCTCTTCCTCTGGGTATACTTGTCAAACTAAATGGAAAGCAAAAAATTTTATAGGAACTTTGATAATGGGATGAGTTCCTGCACTGCATTTTGGCACTATCAGTGTCATCTAAAGTGCTATAAGACAATGACCTCTTTCTTCTTTAACAGGTTTTTTATTATGTTAAGCACCAGTAGTAGCCCATCAATTTCTCTCTCTGCCTTTTCTATTCTCTTCTATTAAGCTGCTTCCTAACTAAATCTCTGAAAATCAAAAGAAACCTTTCATAATCTGGAGTACATCAGTATCATAATCACCCTCAAACCCTTATCCCATGTCTACTGGATCAGAATACTGCACAGAACTAAGGCAAACACACTGGGGAAAAAATATCTCTCACCTCACAGTGATTCTTACAGACCTTCATACCTTTGCCATCAATTCTGGCTCAAAATGGCCCTAAAGGTCAGAGTAGACTCAAACCTATACAGGGGCTGGTGGGCTCAAACTCCCAACCTTCTGGTTAGCAGCTGAGCACTTAAATCCATGTGCCACCAAAACTCCTTATAGCTAAGGAAAAGGAAATAGGTACAAAGTTAACTAGTAGCAATAATTATTGTGAAGAGCACTCATTATTCAAAATCTCCTTCAAGCCCAATGACAATATATTAATATTTCAAGTATGGATTAAACACCCCATTTTATGGAAGTGGTAATGGAGCTTCAAAAGTCTAGTGGAATATCACCTAACTTGCAAGTCAGAGCTGGATCTCACACTCAACCTAGACTGGCCAGACAATCTGTGAGAGCTGAACAATCTCCTCAAATGTGATTGACAGCCACTGAAAACCTGCTGGAGGGTCAGTGATGAACCAATTCCAACTCTACAGTAATGACTAGCTTTTGAATGAAAATGCAAGATCCCATGTTCGAATGTTACTAACAATTTCATGATGGTGACAAAGGTCAAAAGGTCAAAGCTATGACCATGGAGTTAAAAGCTACTCACAGCTGATCCTCCAACATGTTTTCAGAGGCTGTAAACCACACAGGAGATTGCCCATCTCTCTTCCTTGAAGCTGCTGGTGGAGTCCAATCACCTGCCTTTGAGTTGACAGCACATCTCCTTACCCACTGGGCCATCAGAACTCAGTTGAGTATTAAACCTAGTATAAGACCCTTCTAAACAAGGGGAACGGAAGTTTGCTCTGTGCACAAGCTACGTGTCCATGAAGCCAACCCAGGCCCAAGACCAACTCCAACACTGTTTGTCAGATACCTATTCTTAAATCTAGACTCCTCAAAACAAAACAAAAAAATCTAGACTCCTGGCTCAAGTGAGGCTTTGCCTTCCAGTCACTCTGTTGTTGTTGTTGTTGTTATGTGCCGTCGAGTGGCTTGCGACTCATAACGACCCTATGTACAACAGCCCTAAACTCCGCTCTGTCTTGTGCCAATCGCACTGTCTCTGACACTCCCATCCCAATTATCCCAGTCACTGAATCAATCCACCTCATAAAGGGCCTTCCTCTCCTGCACTGTCCCTCCACCCTCCCAAGCATGATGTCCCTCTCCAAGGACCGGTCTCTCCTCACAACATGTCGAGAGTATGTTAGATGGAGCCTCAGGATCCTTGCCTCCAAGGACCCACCCGGTTTAACCCTTTACAGGACAAATCTGTTTGTTTTCCTAGCAGTCCATGGTATTCTCAATACTCTTCTCCAGCACCACAGCTCAAAGGCATCAATTCTCCTTCTATCCTCCTTGGTCATTGTCCAACTCTCTGATGCATAACAAGTGATTGCGAAGACCATGGCCTGTATCAGATGCACCTTAGTCTCCAGAGAGACACCATTGCTCTTCAGCACTTTGGAGAGGTCCCTAACAGCAGACTTTCCCATGGCAATGCGCCTTTTAATTTCCTGGCTACTGGTGCCAAGACTGTTGACTGTGGAGCCAAGCAAACTAAAGCTGTGTACAATCTCAATCTCTTCACCATCCATCCTGATGCTGCCAATTGGTCCAGTGGTGAGAATCTTTGTCTTCTTGACATTGAGCCTCAATTCATATACTCTAAGGTCCCTTATTCCTCACAAGTTCTAACATAACTGGGCAAGCTACCTGTTAGATATTGAACTGTGTTCTGCACAAAGACATGTGCTGTAAATCCCAACCCTCATTGACTGGATTGGCACAGTGACTGCAACAAAGGGTTTAATCACAACAGAGATTTGAAGATGGTGCGGGATGTCATTCTGTTGTATACAGAATCGCTATGAGGCAGAGCCAACTCAAGAGCACCCCACAATATCTGTGGTCATAATCTCATTTTTTAATGGGTTTTCTTTATTATGTTAGTGGAGACTAATAAACAGAACTTTATTTTCACACAGAAACATCTTTTTGGAGGTTAGAAGTCTGAATATAGTATTAATGTAGAAACTCAAAACCAAAACTATTGACATCAAGTCAATTCTGTCTCATAGCAACCCTATAAGATATAATGGAACTTTCCTATCAGGTTTCCGAGGCAGTAATTATCATGGAAATTGACTGTCAAGGAATTCTTCTGTGGAACAGATGGGGGGGGGTAGGTTAAATCACTGATCTTTGGTTTGTAATCTTAACTACTGAACCACCATGGTAGGATGTGTCAAAAACAATCTCTTCTGAGATACGAAAGTGCAGCTTAAACAAACAAGCACAAACGAAGGGATATTAATGCCACATAGTGACCAAGGGATCTACGAAGAAAGGCTGAAAGGAGACAAGGACTTTCCGTCTGAGCAAAGGCAGAGAAAGTTTCCTCTAAAGTAACGGCCTGAATTCAGACTTCTCAGGCAAGAAACTATGAAAGAAAAAAAAATCATCTACTTGTGGTATTTCTATTAAAGCACCAGATAACTAAGGGGCTCTGGTGGTGTAATGTGTAACTTATCAGAGTGCTAACTGGAAGGTCATCAGTTCAAATCCACCAGCTTACCCTCAAAATAAAGGCTCCTTCCAGTAAGATGTATAGCCTCAGAATTCAACGGAGGATCACTGTCAGTGGGAATCAACTTGCAGGCAGTGGTAGATGATACCTAAGTGAAGGTGTTTCACGCATCTTGTTTCCTTCACCACTTCATCTAGAGAACTCCTCCTCATCCTTGAGATGGTAGATTCTAATTCATACTAGGATGGGAATGATTTTAGATTCTTGTAAGTGTTCCCATTATCACTGTAGAAAATGTGTCAAGGATTGAATTTTATGCTCCCAAATATACAGGCTGATGTAATGTAGAAGTTTTTAAATGGTCTCCATTGATCTAAGAAGCCAAGCAACCTCAAAGGATTGAGTGTGGGATGTAGCAAATTCCCTTAATCCCCTCACAATCCTGACATTCAACATAACGGGAGTTTCCCTGGGGTTACGGCCTGCATCTGGGGCAGAGTTATGAATATTTGAATAGTCATAATGACCATTTGTATCAAGGGATCTCTGGCAGTGAGTATGTAGGGAGTGATGCTGCTACCCCAAAGGTGGTGCTTCTCTGGAAGTTCAAATCCACCAGCAGTTCCATGGGAGAAAGATAGACAATCTCCTCCTGTGTGATTTACTGCTTTTGCAAACCTGCTGTAGGGTCAGCTATGAGTAGGTTCCACTTCCAAGGCAATGAGTTTGAGGATTGGTTTTAATTTTGTGTGTGGTGGTGGTGGTGTTTTTTTATTTGTTTTTTTTGTTTGTTTGTTTGGCTTAATTCAAGAAAAGGAAAGAGAAAGATGCAGCATGGGAATCTCTGCAGTGCTGGGAAATTCTGTGACACAGGGGTGGCCATGACACATGGACATCTCTAAGCAATACAGAGTTTTGAGATGCTGAATGAAGCAAGAACTTTCCTCAAATATCAAAAGACAGAATGCCTTCCCCTCCAGCTTACAGGCTAAATTTAGACTTTTAGCCTACTAAAAATGTAAGAGAATAATTTTCTGTTTGTTAAAACCCTCCACCTGTGGTATCTGTTGTAGTGGCATTAAAAAACAAAAGGCAAGACAATTATGTAGGCTTCTAGTATACTTGATACAACCTCAAAGTTTAAAAAAATCTCTGTAATAACAATGTGGAGAATAAAAGGAAGAAAGAGAAAAGACACAGTTAAAGCTTCTCCTCCTCTATCAACTCAAGAAGAAAAGATGAGTGAAATCCATTTACTTGTCTACATAGAATATGCATTAGTTAAATGATCTTTATTAAATGGCAGCTTCATTCTCATTAATGAACCGAGAGCCTAAATGACCACTCTTTGATGTGATTCCAGATGAAGTTACTCTTTAAAGGCAATAAGGATGAGAAGTTGGAAAAAGTACCTCCCGATTCGATTTTTCTTTCCAAGGTCATGAAAAGTAAAGAGTGGAAAATTCAGTAGAAGATGTTACATGTGTTATAGATCTGCTTAATAATATATGACAAGTGGATATGAATGATGAGGCCTTTAAGAGACTCTGGTGACATCATCAGCCTAAGTTCAGACATGGTCGGAGACATGTGATGTTGATGAGGCTACAGAGAACAGCGGGCTACAGTGCCAGCATTTATCATCTTTAGTCTCAACTCTTACTTTTTGCTACATTTTAGACGCTTGGCGCTGTGCTGTCTTAGTCTAGTAGGCTCTTCTCAGTTCAATGCACAGTGTTCTCATGAATACAAAGCTGCAGGAATACCAAGCGCTGAAGGAGGGACTGAGGAATGGCAAAACCGCATCAGCCATACAGGCCTGCTTTCACCCAGCAGCACCACATGTCCCATATCTTAATGTTGATCTGGGTATTTGAGTAAATTGAACCTTATATAGAAATGCTATGGATTCAGAAAGACCTGGGGGCCTATCCAG